GTGGGGTGTGTGTGGGTGTGAGTGTGGGCGTGGGTGTGGGGTGTGTGGGTGTGGGCGTGGGTGTGGGGTGTGTGTGGGTGTGAGTGTGGGCGTGGGTGTGGGGTGTGTGTGGGCGTGGGTGTAGGTGTGTGGGTTGGGTGCGAGTGTGGGTATTTCCATCATTCACACCCACATCCACACCCAAGTCACAGCCACATACCCACACCCACACCCAATATTGATCTTTGTAAACAATAGCAAAAAAAGGCCGATGTAGATAGATCAATAGCCTCTTATCATGAGCCGTCATTCTAATAAAAAGATGTAATAAGAACAAAAATTAAGAATAATTCAAAATAATCTATATCATTCTGTTGCTATTTCATCTGATTGATACATCGAAGTATTTATTTTTCTTATAGTAACAAATCTGTCTCGCTTTCTAAAATTAACAATAAAAATATATCATTACAAATTAAAATGTGTTTATGATACACAGAGCTGAATTTATTTCTTCAGAGTAGAGCAAATATTTCTCTATGGATTGGTGTATAAGAGACTGAAAAATATTCAACCATTGTAACGCAGTAACAGTCAAGAGAAGAGAGAAGAAGGTCAATTTTTATTCTATTCTGCTAGATATGAATGTATCTCTTTTCCTAACCTATATTCACACCGTATTTCAATAGAGTCCATATATTCATTTGTTCATAACGTACAAAAACAGTAGATAAACGTTATATAATTTTGTAATAAATATTTTCTTTCTTTTCTGACAGTTTGATTATCGTACTGACAAATTCAGAAATAATTATACTTCTTCAGTTAAAGAGCAATAAAATAATGACACACAAGTAAATAATCCTAGAAAACTCTAGTATTATGAGAGACGAACCAAAAAATAACAATTACTTTTAATTTTAAGAAGCAAAAAATATTGAGAGAATGTCATTCAATTAAACTCTTATTACATTTTGGTTATCTTAAATCAAAACGAAAAGCAATCATTCTCATATACAGCGTGTTCTAATCCTAAATATATCTATCGATAATCAAGCTAAGAAAATAAAACTGCTATAGTTTGTGGGTATGGTTGAGTGTCGGTTTGAGAGGAGAATTTCACTTAGCCCTCAAGAGAAACTATAAATGCAGCTCTTTTAAATTAATCGAAATAGTTATTTTTTTCTATCATCGAAAAAAAATAATTGCCTGATTCAATTATAATGCAATAGGGGTATACAAATTATTCTTTGTCAAGTGACTCTTCTGGCAATGTATAATTTCATTCGATATAATTGCATCGAATATGATAATGAATATATTGCTTATCGTTCGATCACCATCTTCTGTTAACAAAATTCAATTCTTTTTGTTGTAGAAAAAAGATGATCGAGTAAATTCTTAATTCATAAGGAAAAAATGATTGTATTTTTTCTTAAACTGTATAAAGTTACTTGTTCTTCTCAAAAACTTAGTTCATTTGTTTCAAAAACAGAATAGTAATTTTCAACTTTTTCATCAATGTGTATCGCTGAATTACATTGACTCGAACGTATTAGAACAAGTTCTACTTTCCCTCTACTCTGCTTCATCTCTACAACTATGAATAACAAATATACGATCATTTCAAAACTCTATTGTGCTTTCTTATTTTTACGTTCGATATCTCTATATGTGCGTATTTCTGTGGATGCATGTTGTTTGTTTTTCAAAATATTTCTAATCATAGATAAAAAATAGTGTAGATAATGCGTAATTAGCAATAGCTCAACATATGAAATAAAGAAATTCCACAAGCTTTTGTTGCATCATTTTTACTAGGTTCATAGATTTTTCTAAAAATATATTATTTAATATCGATATAATATTTTAATTGATTTTATCTAATTTGAATAAATTCTTTTACTGATGTAATTTTATTCGAGAAAATAATGATTGATACTCTTGTGAGTATAAGTCTAGGATATGCATATGTGTATAAAAGAATAGGATACTGTATTCAGAGGTGCAGAATCTGCCGTAAAAACGAAAAATTTCCCCAACTAAAAAAAAAAATAAAGAGGCTTTCGTGTATGGAATATGTATCTATGAAGAAAGAACATTGAAATACAGCTAATTAAGACAAATAGCATGATATAAAAAAAAATCCGTTCTATTGATCATCGATTAACTCTGGTAATATTGGTATTTGTTTTTTTCTCAAACGATTTAGCACAATTGAGCCAGATGATATGATATAAGTTTCCATATTTGATATTGTTCACTTTTTTTTGTAAAATAACCAATTTTTTTCCTTCTGGCTGGCCAACGGGTGCTCTGAAAAAAAAAGGAGGTTTGCAGAACCCCCCGAAAAGGTTCTGTAGATTTCTAAAAGCATCCAAATGTGTCGAAAGTCTCAAAAAAAGGATAAAAAGTTTGACAGAACCTTTTGAAGGTTCTGTGCATTATCCACTAG